GAGTTTGAGGAATGACTGCGAGAAATGGTGGATAGGAAACGGTAGAGAGATGGAAAAGGCTGCGGAACTTGGATTGGTGAACCACATTGGTCTTCACTAGGTTGGTATTAGTGTTGAACCGGACGACAGCACTGCTGGCAGTGATCGGTGAAGTTCGCTTCTTTATTTCGCTGTACGGTGACGGCGATGTGCAGAAACCGCGTACAGGCACCGTGTGTTTTACTTCTGCTTGTTGACTACGTGAAATTTGGAGTTTCGTTGTGCACAGCTAGCTATCTATCGGAATCCAGTTGAATAGAGCGGGCTCGCCCCTGGTGCTGAAGGGAATACCAACATGATGAGGTACTGTCCCGCAACAGCTGGGAAGATGCGAAGAATCGATACTGGCGGGGTTCAAGCTCACGCAGTACTATACCGCTCGGTCACTGCCAGAGNGACGGAATATTATGAATGATGACGCTCGATCATCTGTTTCCTCTCCACCTGTCTGACTTTTCAAGTATTCTACATCTTTATCTTAGTATCGTCTTTCTGGTGGTTTCTATTTTGAACAAAACGGATCTTCAGCAGGTAGCACCCAAGGGACCTTAGTGCGGGTTCTCCTTTGTACCGACTGAAAGTCAAAAATGACTTGACCAAGGGTATCAACTTCCCCCATATATTGAAGAAAACTTTCTACGCTTGGGTATAACCAATGACGTACCTGATAAGTTTTTCTTATCGTCGTACTTTTAAATGGGCATCATGTTTCTAGTTTATTCTTGCTGGCCTTTTGATTCAGCTCATCAAAGGACTGCATCGAGATGTCAGTTTAAAAACTTTAATTGCTTTCTCACTCTTCATGCAGTCAGACAAACAATGTATATGCCACTTAATTTTTCAGACTCTGTGATCGGGCTTCAATTGATTCGATGTACTCCGTATTCGATTCTGTTTCACTACGTGAACTTTATGGGAATAAACTACGGAACCAGACATGCGGTAAGCTTGTGTTCGTTTCAAAACCAATTAAAACTTAGCCAAAATTCTTCCTGAGTTTGCAATAGAATATTACGAATGTCGGAGTCAACAAGCCTTTCGTCTCCACTCCACCCTGGACACCGTAAGTTGTTTTTCTTTCAGTGCGTTTATTGCAATGTTTTATGCTGACAGAATTCGCCGCCTTTTGCTGGTGACTATTCCCCAAGTGAGTTTTTAAGTTGCAGTTTCATAATTTGCAATATAGCTTCAACAGATCTCATTTTATTGGCTCAAGAAGATGGTCTCGTTCATCTTTACGACACTTCAGTTTCCGGGCCGCAAGCTTTTATTCAAGGTAGGTTTTCCCTTTGAACCATCCGAGGTTTTATCCTCAATCATCACAACAATCATACAACTTATACCACTGAACTTTTACTATTCGGCAAATTTTATCAAATTCAAATTAGGATATCTGTTATCAGTAGTACTCTGTTTTTGTCTCTAAATATTATATGCGAATAGGTTGACCACGTTTTCTACAGACGATACAGTTGCAGCATTCGATCTCGCCTTCCGTAATGCCACAAAATAAGGTTAGGTAAAAAAATCATAAGGTGTGAGAGGCATGCAAACTTTCCGAGTGTTTCACTCAATCTCCTGCATTGTGGTACTCGGGGATTCGAAAAAGTTCATAAATTCCAGAAACTGTGACGTGGCATTTCGGTCAGTAGTGCACACTTTTAAGTAGTATGAAAATTGAGTAGGTATATTTGTGATAAAATAAACAGAATCAATGAAAACTATCTTACTTTGGTTACTTGTTCCCACGAATTTTTAAATGTTTTATTGCACACTTTTTAGTGTGATGAACAGCAGACGGGGCGAACCCCATAGTCACGAGGACCTGCTCTTCATTGATGGAAACCGGTAACCTAAGCCCCAGGACTTGGAGTGGGAAACCACATAAGGCCCCGATAAGTTAGGCGTGATATTGAACCAGACGACGGCAAAGCTGTCTACCACTAAAGTTGGGTGTGAGTGGTGGGGCTCGAACTATTAGGTCCGGTGACAATGCTTTAATCACCTCACCACTACCGTTTATTATTACCTGCTGTTTGTTTGTAGCGGAATTCGAATAAACATCAATTGGTGTTTGTGTGTTGATAATATTTCTATCGTTTATGACCTTTCAACCATTGTTCGCTAGAATCTGTTTGTCATCCCTTTCGGCCCTTTCAGTTAGTATGTCGATTAAGGTAAATTCCTAGAGTGATCGCTTCATTGAACTGAACCAGTTTTGTCTCTCTCTCTCTCTCCATCGTCAGTCTTATATGGTTGGAATTATAAACCATTAACAGTCTCGGATGTAAAAAAAGTGTTAGTCTACCCAGACGATATGATTCATAATCCCCTAGCATTACTAATGTGACACTTGTAGAATGTTACCATCCAGATGACAAGTTCGCTGATTCCACCATACAATCATCTGAAATATGTACTTTTCCTTTCAACGCTGTTACCTGGTTTTGTTCTGCTTGTTTATTGCTCCTACCCTCCTAGACTATGAACCGCATGCGAACGCAGTGTTTGATGTCAAGTGGCTCTCATCTGGCTCCTCTTTCCTGACCGCTTCTGGTGATCAGTCAATACGACTGATCGATGCGGAGCGTGGAATTAGTTTACAACAATTCTTCGGACACACTATGTCCGTCCGTTGTCTTTCACTTATGCCCAGCGATACACGTACGTGGTCGTTTGTTATGCGTATTTCCATTGTCAGATAAACTCTTTGTATCAATAATGTCACCGACACATAACACCTAGATACAGTATAGGCATGTCCAAAACACAAGAGTATACTTCTCAAGTATGTGTGAGAGGTACATACGACGCAAAATGTTGATTCACATGGCATTTTTTTCCTGCTCGTACGTACGTGTGTTTTGGTTAAGTTTGGCTTAATTGGATATAACGCACTCAGGTAGAATGTTGGTCGCTGCCACATGAATCCTCTCAGGCAGTTGCGCTGGATTAACTTCGATCTAATGATAGATTTCGTCATACGGAGTGCAAAAGCACAAAGAGACGTCAGTTAAAAAGCTGGGAAGCGCTACTGCATCCCTGTTTCCACTTTTTTGGGTCGGGTCCAATCGACGGAGGATCACGAACCTGGGAACCCACTAGAAGAACGTGAACATACTACACACTTGATCACAGGACAGGGTAGCGCATGAGACCGGTTTTCATTTTGTCTCTACATGGTTTAACACAGTCCACAATGTTTGCCGTCATGCCTGGAGCATCAGGATATTGTGCATGTCTTTTAAGCATGATAAATATGATTCCTTTTGTTCTGTTTGCGTTTGTTCATTCGATTTTACTCCAGTTATATATATATATATATATATATATATATGTATATATATATATAAACACCGGCTTGAGAACAAGCTTGGTGCCAACGCCATACCAATAACGAGGTGGGGGTGGGTGGGGTACAGCGTATAGGGAAAAGATGTAGCTGTCAGAATAGGAGATTACGAATAAGTGGAATAACAATTTTTTGGGTGTTTCATCATACATTTTTTTGTTGTTTGTGGTTTTTACGGGGCACGAGATTTCGACAGGCAGACCTTA